GGATAGTTCGTGGAAAAATTGTTAGGTAGAAAAAACAGTCGAGTTAGTGGAAAACAGGCATATTGTCAACCCGTTTTAAACCGTATTGATTGAACTTGTGTTACTCGGGGATTGGGCACAATTGTTATCTTCTGGGATATGGTACCGTGTATTCAGGTAGACTCTCGCCGATGTGTCGAAGGAATTTTCTAACTGCGTGGAGCTTAGTCCTTTTGAAGAAGCCGCCAGTCACTCAGGTTCTTATCAAACTTATAACATTTTATAGAACCCAAAGTCTCATTATTGTTTTCGCACGAGTCTTCCACTGTTCCCTATCCTGAGCCAGATCAATCCATTCCATACTACTTCATCCAATTCTTTAACATCCATTATCTTCCCACCAACCTCTATGTCTTCCAAATGGTCTTTTTCCTTCTGGCTTTCCCACTGAAATCCTCTCTGCGTTTGTCTTTCCTACCATGCATGCTACATGCCTTTCTCATTACACCCCCCTTGACTTGATCTTTCTAATTATATTTGGCGAAGAGCACAGTTATGAAGTTCCTCATTATGCACTTTTTTCAATCTCCTATCGTTTCAACCTTCTTCGTCCAAATATTCTCCTCAGTAACCTGTTCTCAAATACTCTCAGTCTATGTTCTTCACTTAGTGCCCCAGATCAAGTCGCCCTTCCACCATTACGAGTCGAAGAGACTAAGCGAGAAACGAGCAAGAAGCCAACAAAAATCTGAACGCTTCCTGAACTCCCTTTCTCTGAACTAGAGACCGGCTTAGCAAGTAATCGTGGTTACGTAAAAGGTAAAGTTATTCCTATAACAGGTCGTGGAGGCCCATATTTTCTAGATAATCGGGTCACAAATGGCGGTGAGGTTGTCAGTCTTACGCGCCGGCCGCTCTTTACCCACAAGAAGATTCCTGGTATTCATTTCTGTTAGAAGCTGAGTCGACCCCAGGGCTAGAATGCAGCTCGAGAGATTAGTTCAATTGAAAAATCCAGCAACCTCATCGGGAATCGAACCCCCGATCTTCCGGTTTGTGGCGCATTGCTTCAACCAACTACGCTACCGCGTGCTCCGGGTTACTAATGGGATCGTTAGGTAAACTAAAAATGAATACAAATAAGAGATAACGTCGTTGTTAGTAGTCTATCAGCGTTCGGAACATAAACTCGTGCCAGGATGGTGTCGCAGTTAACATTACTGAGTCGTACCACGTGACTTCTTATTCAGATGCTTCGAAAGCGTGGGCAGTATGTACTAATAATCTGGTAATGGTATAATAAACGCACAAAAAAAAGTTGTGCTTTGGTCCCTTTAAGCACGTTCCGACAAATTAATCTCTCAAACTTTATGCATATTGGAGTGTATGCTATCAAGTTTATTGGAGAAAAGTTTTTCCCCATTTTTATGCGTATTCAGATTATACAGGTCTGTGATAAATTAGTTGGTTGCTGAGAAATTGCTGTATTAAGATACAAACATGAAACAATTTGAAAACATTATGGAAACTCACGAAGTTTGTCGAGAGATAAGGGCCGCGCCATAGCTCAAGCGGTTAGTCGCTGGCTTCCCATCGCGGCGGCCCGGGTTCGATCCTGGGTCTGGTCAAGTGGGATTTGTGATGGACAAAGTGGCGCTGGGGCAGGTTTTCTCCGAGTACTTCGGTTTCCCTTGCCAATCTTCTTTCCACCAATTGCTCCACAATCACCTTCACCTATCATCTGGGGCTGGTACAATAGGGCAGAAGTGGCCGCAGTACAAGGGACTTAGTCCCACCCCACTAGCAATAAAAAATATTTATTCCAGACAGATTTGTGTATGTTGAGACAAATTTGTCCTCTCGTTTTTGTATTAGTGATACGTTTCTTCAGATGCCCATATGCTTATTGGGGCAGATTTTTCGAACGCGTCATTATGTTATGGGACCTATTTGTTTTATGATTATTTGTACATATTGTTACTTGTATTGGTGCGTGACTAATAGACGATGTTTGGATTGGATGATTTGATTTATTGCTCACTTCTTTGCGACCACTCGTAATCACAATAAATTACAACAGCTCACAATAAATGACTGTCTAGGACTCGCTCCATTCTGAATGGACAACGACTGATTCCTTTCTGCTCTCTCTCTCTAGCCTGAACTGCATTCTGAGTCTGAGTCTGAGTCTGAAACTGAATGTAATGTTACGAACGAAACTCAGTCGGCCAGTCTCTCTTGGCTTAAAGCACCCATCTGGACCTATTTTCTTTTATTGCTAGTGGGGTAGGACTAAGTCCCTTGTACTGCGGCCACTTCTGGCCTATTGTACCAGCCCCAGATGATAGGTGAGGGTGATTGTGGAGTAATTGGTGGAATGAAGATTGGCAGGGGAAACCGAAGTATTTGGATAAAACCTACCCCAGCGTCACCTTGTCCACCACAAATCCCACTTGACCAGACCCCGTGATCGAACCCGGGCCGCCGCGGTGGGAAGCCAGCGACTAATCGCTTGAGCTATGGCGCGGCCCATCTGGGCCTTAAAACCAGATCTTTAATACTGTCAGACAGCTGCGGGTTTGTTGATATGGGGAGCTCTCTCTGACGAAAAAAACGGGACTTACGATTTTTGTTGGCCCTCGCCAGCACAGTCATTCTCGAATTCGAGTCCCGTGGGACTCATGACCATATTTTAGTGTCTGAGATTCGAGACTTCCCTTTTCGTCGCCTCCTACGACTCGCAGGGCTACGGTGGATGTATTCGACCCCGTCTCCACAGGAGATTAATTGCATTCTGATCTGAGTTTCCTGTTATATAACGTATCAGTATCCATGGAAACACCTGTTGATCACTCATATTCACGTAAACGTCGTCTTGATTTCCAAGAATCCAGCTCTACGGAAACGTGTTTGTCATCTCGTTCCCTAGCAATGGCTCTACATGTCACAGTATTTATTTCAGAGGCTTACATGTAGTTTTGGATATAATAATCTTAGAGGATATGCATATTCATGCAGAAGCACTTGCGCAGTAGGAAATTATTATTTCAGATACTTGCATGTAAGTTGAGGCACATATGCCTCAGATATTTTAAAACTACTGGAGCATATATGTGCTAAACGGTTTTATGCATGTAAGATTTGAGTATTTCACAGCCGTTACTATGAATAATAGTGTATTCTTGGATGTGGCTGCAGTCACCTGCTCACGCTGGTTCATCGCTCGCTGATTTTTCTATCCTGAAGATGGAGGTGATATGTTCCTCCGAAACGTCGTTTCACACAAGATCTGCACAGCTCCACATCCCAGAAGACGGAATTCTTCGGTTTTATGCACATTGGAGAGCGCATGCCCTAAATGTTTTATGTTTATTAAGTTACAGTTATCCCAGGCATAAGTTGAGACTTTTGTGTGCATGTGTTGGCCTAGACTTTTCATACTGGCATTCAGAAATCAGAAATATGTCTTCATATTGATATGGGTGTAATATGAATGTTTATATCTTTCAGTTTTCTCAACAAAAGCGAAGAACATTGAATTGATTTTTAATGAAATTTCACCCCTCATTACAGCTCTGTATAAATATCATATTTTTATATAAATACTTTTAGTGTACGCTTCTCCCATCATTACCTTCCACTTTCCTCATTTCATGTGCTCTTTGCTTGGTTTTAAACTTACTAGTCTCTAGCATTCTTGTTTATGAGCTGGTTACTAATCTATAAGACGTTCAAATAACCCCACATTATAAAGTTGCATAAGAATGTACAATGGACTCAAAAACCGCAATTTTGACGGCTTGCTTGTCAATGAATAACAGTGTCTATTGAAACCACCCGGGAGCACGCGGTAGCGCAGTTGGTTGAGAAACTATGCTACAGGCCGGATGGTCGCGGGTTCTATTCCCGATGAGGTTATTCGATTTTTTAATTTACCTAATCCTTCCAGCAGCACTATGGTCCTAGGGTCAACTCAGCCTCTAACAGAAATGAGTACCAGGAATCTGCCTGAGGGTTAGAGGGCGGCCGGTGCATAAGGCTGGTCACCTCAGCGCCATCTGTGAGGCGATTGTCTAGAAAATGTGGGAGCCTCGACGTCTCACAACCCTATGGGCCTTCACGGCCTGTTACAGGGATAGCTTTGCCTTCAGCTTTATTAAAACTTTCAGATGAATGAAATCCACTGTTACGTTGCTCTGTTACGTTTTAATATTAACAAAATTAAAGGTAAATTTTTACTTTGCTTAACTTAGTAAGCAGTATACCACAAAGAGACATGGGGAAGTGGACGTATAGATCCGCGGGTTCTTGACCTCGGCACTAGTTTGACGTAACTGTTCATCTTCACCCTCCGGTTGCTTTATCCCCGTGTAAAGAGCCATCGTTACCTGTTGGACAGGAGAAAAATCTTTCCCCTGCCGGGACTCGAACTCTATCCCCCCAATCGTCCAGCACGTAGCCAGTCACTATACCACTGCGCTATTCCGGCTCCTTTTGATATTAACTACAAGTTTAGTATGCAAAGTGTTTTGAGTCAAACACCCTCCATTGTCTGATGTACAGGATAATTCACAAGTACCTCCAGAAACCCCGACAATAATTTAGCTTTATTGTCGAGACATTCACAAGAAAAAAATTACAGAATTACAAAGTTGTGTGTATGCAAGCTTGTGAGAAAGTGGCGGGCCACAGGTTCAGTGTGTGACGTAAAGAAGCTAAGCCTGCCTTTGTCTACAAAGTGCTAAATTATTGTCGGAGTTTCCGGAAGGACTTGTGAATGGCAATATATATTTGACAATAGCATCTTCATGTGTTAAAAGTCACTGTACTCACCACATATTCTCATTTGTTTTACATTTGAGATTACTACTATCAGAATCAAATACGCAACAGTGGACTGGACAGGCGACACAGCCACTAATATCGAATAATTTTGTCGCGCAACTTATAAAGAACATAGAACGAAGAATGAATAAATAAGCATGAACTTGGATGTAAGAATGACGTAAGGCAGTTCTCACCCTTCTCGGCTGCATCTTGTTCCTTCTGCTCAATGGTACGACGCTGGGCTGGAACTATCCTGACGCCACACGTCTTCTGGTGCGCCTTGACGCCTTGACGAACATCACGGTAACCGCAGTCACAGCTGACCAACAAAGATTCTTCCGCCATTCTCTACTGCTATTCTAAACTCATGCGAGCATGGTCGAGTCACCTAGAATCGATATAAGAACATTATAAACACTACGTAACATAATGAAACATATCAAAAAGATACATTTGGATTAAACACTAAACTGACTTATTAGAAGATTTTCATGTCATATAATTAAGAAAGCACGGCGTAAAATTGCCTCCAATGAAGTGATCGGTTTAACACGGGAATATGAATAACAGCAAGAATTCCACGGAATATAATCTGCTCAAATACGTATATTGCTACAAGTATTATATTTTTGTCTAATCATATAAAAGACCGTCCTGTTTCTTTTTTAAATCACAAAGTTTCCGAGACTGGATTCTGTCCCCATCTTCAGGGTAATCCAGCCTCTGAAATGTTGTGTTTTCAAAAAGAAACAGGACGGTTTTTTATATAATCAGGCAAGACGATAGATAATGTCCAAAAACATAATATTTGTAGCATTATACCATCGTCACAAACTTTTATATCTTATTTACGTATATTGTTTTTTTGTTCATATGATTTCGTTGCGTATTGTCGTTCCTAGATTTTATCTGAAAATGGACATTCGTGTCAAAAATGTCTGACCGTCGGAAAAATATATGTAAACTTATTTGATATACACAATATACACAATACATTCTTCAGAACATCATCACCGGTCTCGGTCAAAATCACCACTAAGTCTAAGACATGTTTCAACCACACAGGGTCATTAGCAGGTATATGTGTATGATGTTCTACGTAAATTGTCACACTCTAGTCCTGTATTATGTGGCCCGTGATGGTTGTATGTCAAGAAATTATTATTTAACATATTTTTGCAGCCTGTTAAATTTTATGTAAAATGTTAATAGAACTTTAAAATGATGAAATAAAGGTGTATATGTGCCTTGGCACCCCTCTTTTGTGCTCATTTGTGATGTGTGCATCGCGGGTGGTCACATGTAATCTGCCAAGATACATTTATATAATGTATGTTTTTATACAGTATCCGAGCTATATCACTGTACATAGTTGTACTTACTTGTGTTCCCGTCACCGATGTGTGTGTGTATGTGTGTATGGACTACGAACTTGCTGTGGCGTTTCCTCCGTTATATATAATAGGGGAAGGGTGTGTGCTGCTATCTGGTGTCGAGTCCCGAATACTGGGTTATGAGTGTCAGCGTGGTATTGGTTCATATGTAGGTTATCTTAGCTAATTAAATAAATGTGGTATTTCTCTAATCTGTCCAATGCTTCCCGTTCTTTCCTGTCCTTACAACATCCGTGGTGTCGGTCTTGATGCCTGGATTTAATACATTGTCTGAATATCCGGAGTTGACATTGTTATTTCTTATGGCTTGTATATGTTCCTGTACATGGTTCTGAATGTTCTCTCTTCCTATTCCATGCATTTTAACGGGAAATCTGTTCGTTTTGTTTGATAAATTCCGCTTCTATTTTATTTATTTATTTTTCAGTGAGATTTTAATAAGCTCTGAATTGCGTTCTGTACACGGAAAGCTATTATAATGTTTGTGTTTCGGAAGAATTTTGTGACACAATTTTTTTTTTACTTCTCTTCTACTGTATGCAAAATTTAGTACGCATCAGGATTGCTTAAATAATAATTTGAAACGTAGAGGCCTCAGGGTGGCATATAATCCTAGACTACAGAGTCAAAATTTAAGTAAAAAATAATATATATGTGACGTAGACCCTGTGTGGCCGAAACATGTCGTGGAATAATCAACGCCTGTGAAGCTGCATTGAAGACTATATCATGTTTATATACAAATTGCACCAGCGTGGTTAAATATGACATCATATGTAGAATAGTTAAATGGTTATGGAAGGAAAGAAAAATATAGAATGGACAGGAGGGTTCTAGAAAAGTGACTAAGAAGAAATAAAAGGAAGAAAATACGGAAAGGAAGAGGAGATGAAATGTGGAAAAGAAAATACCCTAATGATTGGGCAGATATAGCGAAATTGACCGAAAACTGTTGATTTTCACATAAAAGATCTGTTTTTCCCCACGCAAGCATAACTGTTCAAAGCATATGACTGTGTAGAAGTGTCCAGTTAACAAGTTTAAAATAACACTCTACTGAAATAATGAAATTTACATAAGCTAGCAGAAATAAAACTGTCCTTGATCTTGTTGTTTGGTGTCACCAGGGTCAGTTTTTTTGCTACTTTTTTAGCCCATTGTGATCACCGCAACAAATTCAAGGCAAAGTTTTCTCGTATATTGATTCTGTTTCTAAACATACACGTACTCAGGAAAACGATGTATTACTCAAAGACTGGAACAACCACATGAACAGAATGTGTGTATTGCGCAACTAATGAGTAGACAGTTTTGAGTTAAAAATAACATTCAGATTTTACAACTCAGTAAGAAAAATAACTTCATGAAGCAGAATGCTTTTTGATCTAGTCGAGGAATTTCTCGCCTTTTATGGAACCCAGAGATTCAGTGTTGTGCACAACACAATATTACTATGTTTACAACTTTTAAGATATTTTGCAATGTCATGACTATAATTATCACGGAATNCATAATTTGGAGCTATTCTTCTTTCTTTGTATATTAGGCTGATCAAATGAGACAAGGTGAGGCGGACGGAACATGAAGCAAGCATGAGAAATATGAGAAATCCATACACTATTTTAATCATAAAACCTGTAAAGGAGACACTGCTTCTTCGGAGATTTAACGTGTACGGAAAATAATAACACGTGTAGGATCTGCGGTTCTCTCAGCGGCGGTTATGAAGAGTTCTGTCTTCTGGGATATAGCGCTGTGTAGGGTCTGAGGTTCTCAGAGCAGTGGTTATGAAGAGTTCTGTCTTCTGGGATATAGCGCNAAGATCTGTTTTTCCCCACGCAAGCATAACTGTTCAAAGCATATGACTGTGTAGAAGTGTCCAGTTAACAAGTTTAAAATAACACTCTACTGAAATAATGAAATTTACATAAGCTAGCAGAAATAAAACTGTCCTTGATCTTGTTGTTTGGTGTCACCAGGGTCAGTTTTTTTGCTACTTTTTTAGCCCATTGTGATCACCGCAACAAATTCAAGGCAAAGTTTTCTCGTATATTGATTCTGTTTCTAAACATACACGTACTCAGGAAAACGATGTATTACTCAAAGACTGGAACAACCACATGAACAGAATGTGTGTATTGCGCAACTAATGAGTAGACAGTTTTGAGTTAAAAATAACATTCAGATTTTACAACTCAGTAAGAAAAATAACTTCATGAAGCAGAATGCTTTTTGATCTAGTCGAGGAATTTCTCGCCTTTTATGGAACCCAGAGATTCAGTGTTGTGCACAACACAATATTACTATGTTTACAACTTTTAAGATATTTTGCAATGTCATGACTATAATTATCACGGAATCTTATTTACAAAGAAATCTGAAGACCTTTTATACGAGATGAAAGTTTATTCGTTTCTTTGTATTGACGTGAAGCTTGGACTTTCACAGTATGTGAAGAACATAATTTGAAGGCATATGAGAAGAGGGTTCCAGTGTGGAGCCGAGTTAGTATAATTCCACAATAAACTTGCGAGTCGCAGGAGACGAAAAGGGAACACGGTGCCTGGGGGTAAAACTTGGCCACCCTATCACTGGGGGACATAAGTACAGAGACTTGGTCCTCCAGGTTGAGGGTTGGACGCAAGGCTGATGACCTTGCTCTGTAAAAAATTGCTGTTGCGAAATGAAAGGAATAAAGACAGCATGGTTTGGTCCACGACACTGGCAGAATCTTCTACGAAAGGCCATGGCTCAAAAAAGACTGTTTTGCCAGCGATGGTGGCGGTGGTGGTGGCGGTGGCGGTGGCGG